AGAGGAGCTGGTGGGGACCCTGGTCCCAGCAGCCCCCGCAGCCCCACGCCCTCCATCCCATGTCCCCTCCCAGGTCTTCCAGGAGGTGCAGGCCCTGATCACCTCCTGCATCGACGGGTTCAATGTCTGCATCTTCGCCTACGGCCAGACGGGTGCTGGCAAGACGTACACGATGGAGGTGGGTGCCCGCTGCCTGGGGCGGGGTTCAGACGTGAGGACCACCCCTGGCTGCCACGGGTGGGGGTTCAGGGTTCTGTGTGGTGTGTTGTGCCTCCCTCGGTCTTCACGACCTCCCCGCCACCAGCGCCTGAAGAGGGGGCGCCTTGCCCAAGGGCACTGGGATGGTCCCCGTGGTAGGAGGGGCAGGGGCGACGACAGCCACCACAGAAGGGTCCTGGCCTGAAGTCAGAGTCAGTCTCTCAGGACCGGCTCTCCTGGATTGGGCTCCACACGTGTTTATTGGGCTCCTGCGGGACGGCTGCCCGGGCTGGGCCCTGGGGCTGTCAGGATGGATAAGGGCAGGTCTGTGCCCTGGAGGCGGTCTGGCCCCGTGGGAGAGACTGGCCGGTGAAGACTGTGGTGGGTGGGAGCCCTGCTCTTACCTGCCTCCTCCCTGCTGGCGGCTGACCCCTCCCCTCGGGGACCCGGCCTCTAGAGGAGGAAGAATCTTGTCTGTAGATGAAAATGGAAGGCTGGCCCCGGGGTCTTTGGTTTGTCAGCATTTCCCTGGCTCTTGACGGGGCGGTTTCCTGGGTAGAGACGGAGGGCAAGTGTCCTGGTGTCGGGACAAGGCGAGTGAGAGGGCCCTTTGGTGGGAGGGGCCCTCAGAGGGGAAGCGAGAGCCCAGGTGAGATTTCCTCTCGGAAAGGCCGGGAGCTCAGGGTCCCAAGGTCCCTGCCGGCTCCACCTGGGCCTCCCCTCCGCCACCTAGAGCCCGGCTCACGGCCTCCCTGATATCGGCCCCCTGTGGGCAGCGGCAGGGAAATCGGGTTCCCCGTGTCCCTCCCAGGCGGCTCACCAGGGCCAGGTACACATCTGGCTCCCAGCAGCCGTGTGCTGCCCCGGCCGGCGTTTCACCTGGGCGCCCTGCTCTGTCTAGGGCAGTCCGGCAGGGGGTACCATTTTAAAGGTGGGAAACTGAGGCCCAAGCAGGTGAATGAAGGAAGTTGCTTGCAGTGGGGGGAGGGGGTTTGGGGACAGCCCACCCTGCAGATGGAGGCTTTGGGCAGGGAGGCTGGCCTGCGAGGGGCAGCTGGAGGGGGCTGGGGGCCATAGGCACCCTGTGAGTATCTGCACAGGCCACCCCTCGTGGTGGGGAGGGGCCCAGCTCACGGGGCCTTGCTTCTGCCCCCAGGGAACCCCTGAGAACCCAGGCATCAACCAGCGGGCCCTGCAGCTGCTCTTCTCCGAGGTGCAGGAGAAGGCCTCCGACTGGGAGTTCACCATCACCGTCAGCGCGGCCGAGATCTACAACGAGGCCCTCAGGTTGGAGGCTGGGGCGGGGGGAGGTCAGCAGGTGGAGGGCCCTCAGGTGGGTGGTTCTCAGGTGTGAGCCCTCAGGTGGGCGGCCCTGGGGTGGCACATGCCTCCGGGAAGCTTTGTGGTCTCGGACCGTGTAGAGCCAGGTGGGATGGGAATGGGAGTCTCCTTGAAGGAGTGGGGGGCTGTACACCAGGACTCAGCTCAGAGCGTCTGCTGGCCCCAGGCCCTTCCCCCACCAGCGGGCAGGGGAGGAGGGCAGGGAGGAGGGCTCTCTCTCTGCTCCCTGAGGAGTTCCTTTTCCCCTGGAAGCTCCTCCCATACCCGCAGGCTGCCCAGGTGTGATGCGAGTGGGCTGTGGGGGGCCTGCCCACAGCGGCCAGTGCACTGTGGGGGCAGGAGGAGCACCACCACAGGCCTTTTGGGGGACAGTCGGTCTCCGCCCTTCAGTGGGCTGAGTGCAGGGAGGAGGAGGAGGAGGAGGAGGAGGGGCTTAGCCCAGTGTCCAGGAAGGGGTGTGGTTGGATGGGGGACATTCCAGGTTTGGGGCAGGTGCAGAGCCAGCAGACACAGGAGGAGAGCGTGACTGTCGTCCCCTCCACCCCCACCCCCGGCAGGGACCTGTTGGGGCAGGAGCCCCAGGAGAAGCTGGAGATCCGGCTGTGCCCCGATGGCAGCGGGCAGCTGTACGTGCCAGGGCTGACGGAGTTCCGGGTGCAGAGCGTGGACGACATCAACAAGGTGTGGAGCTGGGGGGACGGGGCGGGGAAATGTGGGGAGCCCCCGCCCAGAGCTTTCTGAGCCTGTTTCCTCCGCTGTGCCATGCAGAGGGTGACACCCTCACTGGGGTGGGTACTTGGGGACGGGGCAATCCCAAGGCCCCACTCGAGCCTGTACCTCTGCCCCGCCCGCCTCCAGGTGTTTGAGTTCGGCCACACCAACCGCACCACGGAGTTCACCAACCTGAACGAGCACAGCTCCCGCTCGCACGCCCTGCTCATCGTGACGGTGCGCGGTGTGGACTGCAGCACCGGCCTCCGCACC